TTTACATTGGTTCTTAAATTAACGTACTTATTTTTATCATGAATTTGTTTTAGACGTGATCCAAATTTACCTCCAATTTCAGCATATTCGCAGACTAATATTGTTACATCAGCTTTGCCAACGATTTGTCCCTGACGAAGTGTTGAGCGAAAGGTTACCTGAAGAGACACAATTTTGTGCCCTTTTTTTATCACTTTAGGATAAAAAAATGCTCAAAATTGTGTCTCTTCAGATTAATTTATTTATTCTGTGGTAACAAATCATTAATCATATATAGTTCATTAGATCGTGAAAAAAATTATCCATTAAAGAATTTTCTCTCTCAATGTTGAAATTCCATAATGGATAATTTTTTTCGCGTTCTAATTAACGTTCAGCAAACTGTCCAACGGTTTTGCATTTAAAAGCATAATGAAAAAATTACGGTAATGGATAACAACGCACAAATTTGTATAAATAATTATATTAATGAACAACATTTAGTTATGTATTACTTGCATCCCTGAAGATGACCTTGGAAGAAGATCGAAAATACTTGGGAAATGAAAATAAAATAAATTTAAACAGATATAGCACATTTCTTTAAACTCAATACACGGAAGATTATTCGTGAGTATGAACGGATTTTGTTAAAAATTAGCCGACATAATGTCTGTAATTTATTCAGACACGCCCAAAAGAGAATTTGCTGCGTAAATACACAAATAAATAAATATATATATATATATATGTGTGTGTGTGTGTGCAAATATGTAGATAAATAGGAAAGAATACGTTAGGTAAATAATTCGGTGTGCTTTAGTATTTTTGTTTTTATTTTTAAAAAACAACGCTCCATACAAAAGTAGAGCTTAGATTATAATTATTTTTTTTAAAAAATATTATTCCTTCGCTACATAAGTGTTCTCATGTTTCAAAAAACAAGAACCAAAAACCTCAAGATAATTATTAAAATTAAATTGAATTAAAGTATCAAGCCCTGTTTCATCCTCAAGCGAAAATTTAGGAATAAACAATCTTGAAATTTACGCATCTTTATAATCATGTTCATTCGCAAAATTAATTACTATGGAAACGGCTTGAGCGACCATTTTGATAAGGGGCATAAGAGTTAAGAATTTGTATCCATATATCAGTCACTTTCGGAAAGAGGTCAAGAGGAATCATATTTTTTTTTTAAATAATTATAATTTAAGCTCTACTTCTGTATGGAGTAATGTTTTTTAAAGATAAAAACAAAAATACTAAAGAACTCCGAATTATTTACCTAATGTGTTCTTTCCTATTTTTCTACATATTTGCACATATATATATACTCCCCAATTAAGGTCGAGTTCTCTGAACCTTTATTTTTAAAATAAGAACTTTAAAAATATGGAAAAAGTAAATTTCGGCATTTCTCTGAAGAATATTCCACGCACAAAGAAACGGAATTATTTCGTTAAACCTTTTCCAAAAAACAGAGGAATTAATAAGAAGAATGAGATGGAAAGAATTCTTCTTCCTTCGGGGGAATAACTTAACAAAAAAAGAACATGATGTTGACGGCTTTAAAAGTTAAAAAAATTGCACCGTTTAACAAAAACTACAGGAATTTGAAAAGGACCTACTCATTATAATCAATAACATCTTTCAAAAAAAGAAAAGCAACTTCCAAAAATATCTAAAAGCATCAACGATAGTGATAAAATACTAGTTAAGTCCGACAAAACGGGAAACTTCTACAAATTGACGGCAGACGACTACAACAAATTAATTAAAAAAAAATAACTAAGACTTATAAAAAAGCTTATAAAACAATATTAATATAGTAGACTTATCAACAGCAATAATAAAATTATAACTGAAAAATTAAAAATAAGCGATAGGGTAGGCAAACTAGCTGAAAAGGAATGCTACATTACTCTTAAGGACCACAAACAAGATTTTGAGGATGACCCACTATTAGAATGATAAACCCAACCAGACCCGACATAGGAAAGATAAGCAAAAGAACCCTAGAAAGGATCACTAGACAAATCAAAAACTGCCTTGGATTAACACTCTGGATTAATACCAAAGAAGTCATCAATTGTTTTACCAACATCAACAATGCCTGATTGCACCCTAATACAGTTCGATATTGTGGATTATTACCAGTCAATATCAAGAGATCTCTTCACGACTGCCCTGGAGTTTGCTACTGTATATTCTGACTTAACTAAGGAAGAAATGAACATACTTCGTACTGAAAAAAAAAAAAAAATGTCCTCATTTATAATGGGGACCAATGGATTAAAAACAGTAATGGTAATTTTGACATCACCATGGGATCTTTAGACTCTGCAGAGTCTTCAGACCTCGTCGGTCTATTTATACTATACAATCTAACCGCGCACCGTGAATTAGACATTAAGAACCACGGGCTATACAGGGATGATGGGCTCATGGTAGTGAGGAGCTCCACAAATTTTAAAATAGATAAAATTAGAAAGATAATGAATTCAGAAAACTAAATTTAAAAATTACAGTCAATACTAAATTAAAAAGATTAAACTTCCTCGACGTAACTCTAAACTTAATGAACAACATATAGAAAACTAACGCTAACCCCTTGTATTTACACCCTAAGTCAAACCACCCTCCATCTATAATTAAGCATATACCCACATCAATAGAGAAAAGAATCAGTATGAACTCCGCTAATTAGAAAATATTCCAACAACACAGTAATTTTTATAATACAGCCCTAAAAAAATAGCGGATACAAAAACGTTAACATAAATTATAGAAACAATAGTACTAACAGGAAAAACAGGAAAAGAAAAATCATTTGGTATACCCCTCCATTCAACCAAATGGTTAATATTAAGCTAGGACATAAGTTCCTAGCTTTAATTGAAAAACACTTTCCTACTAATAGCAGACTTAGCAAGATCTTTAATAAAAACACCTTAAAATCAAGTTACAATTGCACTGAAAATCTAGAAAGAATCATAAAAAAAAACATAATAAAATCCTGGAAAAACACGCATGCCAAAACCGTATTAATAAAAATCCTAAACTAAAATTAGACAAAAATAATGAAAATTATCTGATTGTAGAAACCCTGAAGACTTCCCGTTGGAAAATCAATGCCGCACAAAATCTGTGGTATACCAATGCACTATCTCATCCACTGAAAGGATATACATTGGTTCAACGAAGAACTACATGAAAAACCACACATTATTAAGTTTCTAAATAATGAAAATTTATTAAACCATAGACATGAGTTAACGGTTTTTTTGCCGACATCAACAAATTTTCGCATTAAATAATTAGCATAAAAAATTAAATTTCATAGTCTAATAAAAGGTTTAAAATGTTAACCCAATCAGAAAAACCCTTTATGAAGTCGTCAAAAAAAAAAAACAAATTGTAATTCAGCGCGACGAGTTTATGTACGAAATAGCCCCTTAGAGAAATGAATAAATGAATAAAATAAAATTCTTGAGACACTTAACGACGTATTATGGTGCCAACAGCTATCTGTCGCTGTGACTGACCAGACGACGTGCGTACTTGA